TCAGCAGTGTGCCCTTGTTGCAAAGAAGGCTAATAGCATCCCAGGCTGCAGTAGTAGCAGCATTGCCAGCAGATCGAGGGAAGTGATTATTCCCCTCTATTCAGCACTGGTGAAACCACATCTGCAGTACTGTGTCCAGTTTTAGGGTCCCCAGTACAGAAAGGATGTGGACAAATTGAAGAGAGACTAGCACAGGGCAACAAAAATGGTGAGGAGGTAGGGGACATGACTTCTGAGGAGAGGCTGAGGGAACTGGGGTTATTTAGTCTAGAGAAGAGAAAATTAATAAATGGGAAGATGGGATTTAATAGCAGCCTTCAACTACCTGAAGGGGGGTTCAAAGGAGGACAGAGCTGGACTGTTCTCAGTGGTGGTAGATGACAGAACAAGGAGCAATGGTCTCAAGTTGTAGTGAGGGAAGTTGAGGTTAGATATTAGGAAGAATTTTCTCACTAGAAGGGTAGTAAAACACTGGAACAGGTTACCCAGACAGGTTGTGGACTCTCCATTCTTGGAGGTGCTGAAGACCTGGCTAGACAAGCCTTGGCTGGGATGATCTAGTTGGGGATGGTCCTGCCTTGAGCAGGGGGTTGGACTAGATGTGACCTCCTGAGTCCCTTGTGACCCTCATTTTCTATGAGTCTATGGTTCCACCTGACTGCTCAGGGCAGCTGTGGTGAGTCTCACTTCTCCCAGGAGCTCAGCATGGCCCTGAGAAATAGGGCAGACAGGTGTCAATTAGGCAGATTGATATTCCCACAGAACGGGACATGAACGGCTAAGCAACCGAGCCGTGGAGGTGGGAAGTTGGAGGTAGGAGGACACTGCCACTTCAGCTGTGTGCCAGGATGGGAGGGTGGGATCGTGGGGGAAGCAAGGAGATGAGGTCACTGCTTTGCTCAGTGCTGAAGGACAGGAACCTTTGTAGCATGCAGAAGCCTGTGGCCCTGTGCTGTGAGTGGGCAGGATGCGGCAAACCACCTACCCCCCATGCTCCACCATCCCTGTACTCCCCGCCCCAACCCCACTCTGGGCTTCTCAGCCACAGCAGCTCAACAGAAGGTTGTGACCACAGGGAAGTGCTGTAAGGGCTGCGGTTCCTGCCACACCATCTTCCTTCCCCTTCCCCCCGACCTTTTCTCCCAGGGCATGGTGCAGGGGTGAACCATACTGTTCTGGGCTACACGATGTCCTCATTTGGGGCCCAAGTCATCAGAAGTGGGAGGAGGGCTGGCCATGGATCATGCAGGTGCAGTGGCCACTGTAGTGGTAGTGTGGGGGCTGGTATGCACTCTGCAATTCTGGGAGGGAGGGAGCAAGGTGTCAGAAGAGTTGGGTCTGGGACAGCCATGGCCCATGTAGGGAATGGTATCCCACGGCCCACAAAGCTCAGCTGTGGGCTGCCGGGTCGAGGTCTGAGGTGGGGGGGCTCCTGTGAGGCACAAGGCACATGACCAGACATCCATGGTGTTGGAGCTCTCCTCCTCATCCTGCATGCTGTGCTCCGTGCTCTCAGCAACAGGCAAAAAGATCTTCTCGGAGCATACTTGGAGCTACAGGTGCACCTTGGCTCCCACATCCTATGATGATACAGGGACCAGCAGCAACACTCCTGACTCCTCAGGGAACAGCTCCAGCAGCTGTGGTTTTGCCCTGGGGACCTGCTCCTGGGCACCTGGTTGTCCCACCATCCCAGGGCCTCCCTGTACATCTTCCTCCAGCAGCGTTTCTACTGGCAACTCTTCCAGCCCCCAACAGTGCCGTAGGTGTGCAGGGTGTTGACAGCCCTGTCCTTGGCGAGGAAATGGGACAGCTCCTTGTACAAGGGCATGGCCTACCTCCAGGCCCCAGACCTCTTGATGGCATCATGCATGCGATGATACCAACTATTCATCACCTTGGTCTTGGTGCAGCACCGTGACTAATCCTTGTTGTGGCCCTGCTCCTGCATGGGCTCGGCAATGTGCTTGAAGACATCCCTGTGGCAGTGCCCTTTCAAAAGTTGGCACTGGATCTCCTTCCTTACCCTGGATAGCAATAAGATCCCTTATTTCCCCACAGGACCAGCTGTATGCCTGGGTTTGGCTGGTGAAGATGGATGGGGCAGGGTCATCCATGGTCCACAGCAGTGCCCTTGGGGTCTTGGCATCTGTGGGTGAATGAGGATCCGGCTGCAAGGGGTGGGGGGGATGGAAAACTGGATGGCTGGAAGCAAAGGACACACAAAAGGTGCAGATCCTGGCATGTGCTTCTCTTTCTCACTTCAGCTGGGTGTGGACCCTCCTCCAGAGTAACTGGGGCTCTGCTGGTCAGGCCATCCCCACAACCTTGAACTTTCCAGGTACTTAGAGTAGACTACTTGATTCTGACAACAACCTTCACACCAGGCTGGAAATTTCCATTGTCCTCTAGCTGCAACAAAGGGAGCTGGCCACACCAGACCTGGTCCTGAGGCTTGCTGGCCCTGGCATAGCTGCTCAGTGTCCCCTCCCCCTTGCCTTATTAATCCAGGACTCCAGAGCTGAGCCAAAAAAACCTTACAAGCTAGATGCCTATGGGCCAGGTACCTGCCAGCAGCGTCCAAGCTGCAGAGGCCAAAGGACTGCTTCCCTGCAGGCCCAGTGCCAATGTTCTCCCTCTTGACACCCTGACCCAGCAGAGGTAAGCTGCCCACACCAGCTCCTGCTGTGTCCAAGGCTAGAGTACTTCCCTGTGCAAAGCCACCTGGGATGTCAGAACGCAACCTATCTTGAGGTGCGAAGGGATGAGGTACAGATGGGGAAAAAAAAAGGACTCCAACCTAAAGCACTTCAGTCTGATACCACATCTACCCAGAGTTAACTTAGAGTCCTTTAAAAATGGCAGATCCCGCTCTATGCGCCATGAATGTCTCTAGTCCTAGTGATTTTTCTCCATATAGGCCTGAAGATACACTTTCTAAAAAAGGCAATTATGTTTAGAGTTTCTGAAGGAGTCTATGTCAGGCAGGGGCATGACTGCTATGATAGGTGTACAAACTCACACTCATCTTTAGGGACCTACTTAATTCATGCTTTTGCCGATTTCATGGAAACTGCGAAAGCAGGGATTATCTGCAAAATTGACAAAAAAACCCCACCCAAAAATAAAATACTGGCATCCCAGTAGAAGCCAGTGGTCCTCACTGCCAGGAGAGGAAAGCATTGGCTGGTAGGGTGGCACAAAAAGCAACAGACAAGATGGTGAATGTCCCCTCATCCATCTTCTCCCTGCCAAGCCAATCAGCGCTGAGGAGCAGGGCCACATGAAGGGTAGCCAGCAATCAAGATGGC